CAACGGAAGAAAAAGGAGAAGGAAGCCGTAAAGAAGGGAATTCCACCACGGCAGGAGATTGTTGACCCTGAACCTGAGCCCGAGCCCGAGCCCGAGCCTGAGCCTGAGCCTGAGCCTGAGCCTGAGCCTGAGCCTGAGCCTGAAACAGCACCTGCACCACCTAAGAACCATGAATTTTGGGATGGCTGGGACTTGTGGTCACTTTCGCAACGGAAGAAAAAGGAGAAGGAAGCCATAAAGAAGGGAATTCCACCACGACAGGAGATTGTTGAACCTGACCCGGAGCCGGAGCCGGAGCCGGAGCCGGAACCTGAGCTTGCACTCGAACCTGGACCTGAACCTGAGCCTGAAGCAAGGAATCATGCGTTCTGGAATGGGTGGCAGGATTGGAGCGGTAAAGAGCGCAAGAGGAAAGATAAAGAGGCAAAGGCCAACGGTATTTCGCCGTTGCGAGAGGATTTAGAGCCTGCACTCGATCCTGAACCTGAACCGGAGCCGGAACCGCAACCCGGACCTGAGGCTGAGTCTGAGCTTGCACCAGAACCCGAACCTGAGCCGCTCAGGAATCATGAATTCTGGAATGGGTGGCAGGATTGGAGTGGCAAAGAGCGCAAGAGAAAGGATAAAGAGGCAAAGGCCAAAGGTATTCCGCCGTTGCGAGAGGATTTAGAGCCTGCACTTGAAGCTGTTCCAGAGCCGGAACTGAAGCCAGAGCCAGAGCTCGAATTAGAACCAGATGTACCTCCTGCGCCAGAGCCACCAAAGAACCATGAATTCTGGGATGGTTGGGAGAAATGGAGTTCTAAGGAGCGGAAGAAAAAGGAAAAAGAAGCTAATACAAGAGGCATTCCACCACGTCAAGATTTTCCTCCCATCGAATTTCCCCCTGAGGCTCCAGAAGTCCCCACCATCGAGCCAATAGCTGTTGTGGAGGAGCCTAAGGATGATTTTTGGGCCAATTGGGATACATGGACTTCTACTGAGCGCAAGAAAAAAGAAAAAGAAGCGAAAAAGAAGGGAATTCCATTGCGCAGCGAAGTTCCGACCATGGACCCGTTGTTAGAAGCGCCACCCCCTCCAGCGCCTACACCTCCAGCCCAGGGTCTGACGCCAGAACCGCAGCTAGATGATTTCTTGGATGATGCATGGGGAGGCTTCGCTACAAAATCTTCGAAGACTAAGAAAGGAACGCTTTCCAAGGCAATTAAGAAAGACGATCTTCTTGAGCCGCCTCAAGAAAAACCAGCATTAGTGGAAGAAACCCCAGCAAAATCAGTAAGAGGATTCTGGGCTTCCTTTGGCACTACCAAGACCAAGCCAAAAGAGGAAAAGCCTATAGAAACGACACCATTGCCCGATGATTTACTTATTGACGTTGGCGAAGCGCCAGCCGCGCCGCTAGTGGACGAGATAGCCGCGCCCCCGCCCAAGACCACGTCGAAGACAGCAAGGCCGCCGGGGAGACTCTCAGTTGCTGAGCGTATCGAGGCTCTTGAGAGACAGAAACGAGAAAAAAAGGCGGCAGCAGCAAAAGAAGCAGAAAAGAAAGCTACCAACGACCTGCTTGTTGACGACCCTCCACCTCCGCCGCCAGCAGCGCCCGAGCCACCTCTGGACCCGTCACCCAAAAAGGGAAGTGCCAAACAGAAGCTCACCAAGTCATCATCGGGCAAGAAAGAAGAGACCCCTGAAACAATCATCCCAGAACCCAAAGAGGAGAAATTTTCGCGAGAGTCGATACCCGGTAGCTTTCCTGAGCCAGAGCCCGAGCCCGAACCAGAGCTAGAGCCAGAACTAGAGCCAGAACCAGAGCCAGAACCAGAGCCGGAACCAGAACCGGAGCCAGAGCCAGAGCCTCCTGCTCCTCCCCCGCCTGAGCCTGCCTACACATCCAAAAAGAGTAAAAAGTCCTCTACTCTTAAAAAATCCTCCGCAACATCAAAGACCCCCAAGCGCGATTCGTTGCCCAAGCAAATGGAAGAACCTGTGGTACAATCTGATGTACAGGAACCTGTCGCCGAAGAGCCTATCTCAGAAAACACAGCTCCTAGTGCCCCGACACCACCTCCTGAACCTTCTACGAAATCGTCGAGAAAAGAACGTGCGAAGGTTGAGCGCACAGCAGGAGCATCATCTTGGGGTTTCTGGGGTGTCGCGCCTCCGCCCAAGAAATCAGCGAAGAAAGAAAATAAACCCAAAGAAGACCAGCCGGTCCCTGTGAAAGAACGTTCGGGAATTTCGAGATCCAAATCAGATGCAAAGGCACGTCGCAGAGTACGGGACTCGGATAATGAAGTTGACGCGGAGAGGTCTTCGACAGACAAAGATAAACGCTCCGATGCTAAACGTCAGAGTCGAGGAATGGGGTTCTCTAACTTTATTCTTGGAGGACCACCACCTTCTCGAAGCAAATCGGTTAAAAAATCGGGCGTACAGTCACGTCCAACGTCTCGGCGCCCGTCAATTGATGTAGGCGATACTAGCCTACCTTCTCCACCTCCGGAAGACAAGCCTGAAATTTCCAGCAAGGCAGCTGAATTGATGGGTATAAAGGCCTCCTCGTCAAAAAGAGACAGTGCCGGCAAAAAGAAGAGACGTGGTAAGTCAAACTACACAAATGAAGACGTTCAATTCATTAACGATCATGGAATAGTAGTTCGTGACCCTTACTCAGTTGATATTGATGAAGACATTGTCATGGTGAATCGAGAAGAGGAAGGCGAAGTTTTCGAGAAACCCAGGCGGGCCAAATCGAGGTCCAAGAGAATGGTAAGGCGATCCAAATTTTCATTTCATCTAATGCAGTTATATTCGTGCTGACACCGGGTATAGTCTGAGACCAGACAGACTGAGGAAGAGCCTGTTCTTGTTGAAGCAGAACAAAGCCCTCCAAGTGCAGAAGTGGTCTCTGGCCCAGATGATCTCGCATTTGTGGAAGCTCCTCCCAAAGAACGACGATATCGAAAGCCAGCTCCTCCGGCAGCGAAAAAAGCCGAACCTGGAGGTTTGATGGGGCTATTCGGTTCTTTGAGAAAGCCAACTCAACCAGAACCGCAACGCAGAAAATCACGATCTCGTCGGGATGAGATGACCGAGACTGAGAAAGACGAAAGGCGCGTCAAACGTGAAAGGCGCCGCTCTGTTAGACCAGAGACCGATGTTGAAGGGCTTACCACTAATGCTGGACCGGTTCATAATATAGACGACATTGAAGCCATTAAGGCGGAACGCAGGCGACGTGAAGCTGAGCAGAGAGCACGTGAGTTGGAACTCCAGGAGGCAGAAGAGCGGCGTGCCCGAAGAGAAAAACAACGTGAACATCGTGAGAAGCGGCTTCGAGAGGAAATGGAACTAGAAGCACAACGGCGAGAAGAGAAGAGAGCACGTCGTGCAGCTCGCGAAGAACGTCGTGCCAAAGAAGAACAGGAGGCGAGAGAAGCTCAAATGCGTGCAGAAGCGAAAACAGCTGAACGACGAGAACGGAGGCGAACACGAGACGCTGTGGAGATGAATGGAAATCTGTCAAGACATACCTCCAGAGCTGAAAGGCGTCGCTCAGAGCGACGATCGGAGGATGACTATGCAAGGTATAATCGTCCTGGCGATGAGCGCCCACGAGCTAGCCGCCGCAAGTCAACCGCCCCAGACCCAGCCGAAGCCCCACGTGGATACGGAATGCCTGGAAAAGAAAAGACGTCTTCCTGGGTTAACTCACAAATCATTGACCCTCCGGAGGCTCCTCCAATTGTGCCAACGGTTCTTGATATGCCTCCTAGCAATGAGAATGGGCCATCTCACTCCCTCTCATCTGATGAGGAGACAAGGCGAAGGATACGTCGCCAAGCCCGTCGTCGTTCAAGATATCCTGATATGGCTGATGAAGAAATCGAAGAAATGCGTACCAGACGTCGCGAGGCTCGCCGAACTCGTGATGGGGTAAAGAGCAGTTCTGGTAGCGGTGATTATGAACGGGATAATGGCAGTAGGCGACGTGAGGCTTACTATGAACCAACATCCCGTGCACCCAGCTCCAAGAGGCCAAGTTGGTTTAAGAAATTGACGAATCTCTGAGATGTCAATCTCTGTATCTTTCGTGTTACTTAGTTTTATAATACCCTTGTGTTTTCATTCAGCTTTTTTTTTTTCGAAAACAGGCGGATGTGTTTTGTTTATGAGCTGAATGACCGTTGTTCTTTTATTTTTCTATTTTTTTATGGCAACTGAGGGAGCGGAGGCGTTATATCTAATACCCAGGATTTGTTTGTGGTGCCTGGTCTATTGTATTTCTTCTATTCCAGTCCTTTCTTGTTGCATGATATGATATGTTTATGAGTGATTTATTGGTTGGAGATATTTGAATATCTCTGTTCGCTAAATGGTGGATTGGCAAGACTATGTTATTGCTGAGGTACCAAATGTACTCAACTTGTTACATATGATTGACTATTATAAGTATCGTATTATATTATAGTTTCAATGTACTTGTTTGTTCGATCAAGAAAGATGACTTACAGGGTACAAATCAATATTCAAAGCAAGGTAAACTAATTATCCAGGTATAGCTGACAACGTCGCCTAGTTCACTCGCCCTCTTTCCTTGCTCTCCTATTCTCAAAATACATTCTTCCAGTCTCGTACGCACTCAGATACAGCCCTAATCCTAGTGCTGTCCATCCAGCTCTCAAGGTACCTCCCGTGAAAAGGCCGCGAATCCCCTCTTTCCTAAAGATTTCCCTCCCAACAGTAAATGAGCTTGTCTTCGTATTCTCCATCCAAGACGACGATGATGACGATGGTGCAGCAGCAGCAGTAGAACTTCTCTCGTTCTCACCGACTGCCAGCATAATCCTCGTCTTGACAACATCAATTGGAGTAGTAATGGCAGCCGCAATCCCGCCTGCCATACCTGCACTTAAGGCAGTAATTGATGCTCTTTCGGTAATTGTCTGTCTTCCCGAGAGATTTCGTTGCTGATTCTTTTGCCGCCATTTGATAAACATTTGCTCTCGTAGGTGCTCAAAGAGAGGGAATTGCATGGCTGTGAATGGTAGATTTCGAGCGACAAGAGCACCGTATCCGCGCCATAGCTGAGTGGGTTGAGCACGGAGCATTGATATGACCTGCATTGTTGGTTTTGTTTTGTATGTAGTAGAAGACGAAGAGGAAGAAGAAGGCAGCCATTTAGTTTTGCGATTTGCAGGTTTGCCGTCGTGAGGCGAAGTGACCATTTGCGCATTCTGTTTAAGAACCTCTGCTGGCGTCAGAATAAAGCATGAGACACACTCTGCTGCTGAAGAGGCAAGTCCATTAATCACTGGTGTTGGAAGAGTGAAAGGAAACGGGCCCTTAGTAATAGAACCATCAGAGTCATCATGAACTCGTTTTGCATTTGAGTTTAGGATGTATTTGACTCCTTCATATGTAGTAAAGAATGCTCCTGCTAGAAATGAAGCGTTAAAATGGGTCATTTGTAGAGAACTGGCAAGATTGACCTTCTTAAAGATAAAGGGTTGGGACATACATGAAGGTATTGTTGCTATGACCACACTCCATATTCCTTGATACAAGCCACGATAGAGCACTCCTCGCCGAGCTGCACCCGTAGCGGTATCTATGTAAAGTTCTCGGTATCTTGGGGATTGGATACGTGTCTTCAAGGTGTCGAGGGGGTAAACGATGAAGTCGACTGTGAAGGCGGCTATTGCTCCTGCCTATCATAAAGTGTCAGTTCGATGAAAGGTACCAGTGAATTTTTCCTTTCTAAAGTCCTATAAACAGATGTGGTTCGGCAAGTAGATGGCTCAGGATATTGATAGCAGGTTTGCTACCTGGGTATGGACCGACAATACGTACAAGCCAAATATCTGTGTTGCTGTTATGCATGAGACAGCAGTCATTCTATAAAGAGGAGCTCTTTCATAAAATAAATAAATGACTCACGTCTTGATGAAGGTTCAGAAATGAAGTCGAGGCCCAGAATCTGAAGTTGTTCAAATGTTGAAAGTCGAAATTTGTTGACGATGAGATCATCTCTATTCCACGAGCGGGTCCATAGATCGATCTGATAAGATAAGGCGGCACGGGTCAAAGTTGGATTGACGAGGGGCTCACGATTGGAGTCATTCGTTTTCTTTTTAAAATAATACCCTTCGAAAACTCTTTGAATACGTAAATTGACACTAGCAGCCCAAGCTCTAATATAAGGTCCATCAAATACCAGAGACAGGCACGGACAACCACAGATACATATTTTTCCCTTCCGACGCCGTAGAGTCATGCAAAAATACCCACAAGAATCGACGTTTGTCATTAAATAAAAGAAAAAGAAAGAAACAAAAAAAAAAGGAAATTCATAGATCTACCTATTCAGTCGCCTCGCCAGGGAGAAGATTTCCCTTAACAGCGAACATCTTGCCGGTAGTTGAGGAGACGAACCCATCAATCTGGCGCGAATATTGTTCTACTTGCCGGGTGTTCAACATGCTTTCCAGCCGGCTAGGCTCCTGGGGAAGCTTGAACAAGCGTTGCCACTCATCTTCGGGAAGGAGAGGCTGCTTGAGCGTAGCCCGGCTGATGTTCTCCGCCTTGCGCTTCGCTTGCCAGGCGGCAATCTTCTGTTGTTCACGGGCGAGCGATCGTTGATAGTATTGGAAGTTGTTGTTCTCAGAGTGGTGGGTTTCAATAGCATCCAGAAGCAGATCACAGTTCTTCTCCAAGAAGGGGTCTATGCTCAACGACAGGTTGTCAAAGTTAGGAGCAAGCACATTTGACTGCGCCGTAAGACCATTTGTAAGAGCTGACAGAGATGGAGGAAGGTCGAGAGGCTCGGATGGGAGAGGAGATGGGAGCTGGTGGAGGAATGATGTGAGGAGGTGTGAGTTGTGGATTTTGACCGGCAGCTCAACGAGGATATCTTGGTAACGGAGACCAGATTTTTGAAGTCTGGGAATCGGGTTAGGAAGTTAGCGAAATGTAAAAAAAGCAAGGTGAATCTTATATAAGGAGCTACATACTGCTCCGAAGTGAACTTGTTCTCCTTGAACGCATTCATAAACTGGGAGGAGAGACGGAAAGCGCGCAGGCTCAAGCTGCCCTGAGAGCTTCGGCTGACATCGTGGACAAGAGCGATGGTCCGCTCATTCAATTCCTTCTGATAGAAAAATTGGTTCTCGATGACGGTCAGGTTAATGAAGTTGCCCATGTTTGCGCTAGTGTACCATCCGACATTCTGAGCATCAACGTTCACTTCACGCAGCATGCGAATCATCTCAGCCTGGTAGACAGTATTCGCCTTGGCACGAGGGGCAGCAGCAGCAGCATTTGGGGTCGAGGTGTCGAAATGGGATTCCGGGGGCATCTCCACGACTGGGAATGGGAAGGTGTTTGTGACCTGCAGCGTGTCTGCGACATCCAGACCAACAAGGGAACCGGTGGCGACGGTAGGGAAACTCTGGGAGCTATGCTTGATGATTTTCATAACAACCTGGTTCGGCATGTGTTAGTATTGTATAGTATGGTGTCGAGTCGAGACGCGCTGAGCGGCGACGAGGGGTAGGATTTTTTTTTTCATCTGGGGGTTCATACCAGGGCTTCCACCTGGATTGCCGTTAAGGGAGCCTCTTTCCTGCATACTGTTAGCAGCTGTCCAAAGCCAAGAGCATGATTTTTACTCACTCCATCTTGAATATAGTAGAAGCACCTGTGTCGAGCTGGACGTGATCGCTTGCAGAGTCTCAGTCGCCTTCATCGCTGACGGCTCCGTTTTGTGTGGGCGAGAATTCCCACCGCATCATGCCCAAAGCGGAATAGCGCCCCTGATAGACGCTACGTCCTACGATGCTACGAAAAGCATCAACCTACCTGTTACATCCATAGACTTAGGATACCAGTAAGAGTGGTGGAAGTTGAGAGGAGAGAAACTAAGAAAAGGTATCGACATAAGTTTTTTTTCTACAGCGACAGCACGAGTACTGTTTCCTTTCTCGGCTTAGCGTGTATTCTACCAGGACTGATAGCGATACACTCAACTTCCAATTCTTCCACCCAATACCAGGTCCTCGAGTAGACAGAACGTCCTACAACAGAATTAGTCATGGCTCAACCGGATACATTTTCCTATGGCCCCCATGAATTGCAGAAAGTCCATGTCTACAGAGCGCAAGAAGGAGGTCAAGGTGCTTTATGGGTGATGTATGTCCCTGAGTCACTGTCTATGAAGCATGGTAGGGAGCAAAAACTGAACTGTTTTCAGATATATTCATGGCGGAGCATATCGTGATAAGGACATCCTGGCAGATTCATTTTCAAAGACTTACGAGATACTCAACAAACATCCAATGATCCACAACAATGTGGCTGCCTTTGCTTCCATAGATTATCGTCTCAGTCCACACCCGAATTCCCCCCAAGACCCGGTCAAAACTCCCAAGTCTCGACTTCGAAATGCCATGCATCCGGATCATCTTAATGATGTCCAGGCCGCGCTCAAAGTATTGCAAGAAAAATACGCTTTCCAAGACCAATACGTCCTGGTTGGTCACAGTGTTGGAGCCACAATGTCGTTCCAGGCCGTCATGAACAAGGTCCAAGGCGCAGATCCGACCTCGATAGCATCTCCAAAACCCAGAGCCGTGGTTGGTGTGTGTGGAATATACGATCTTCGGCTTATTCGCAATGATTTTAAGGAAATCCAAATTTACGACGAATTTCTCAAGGGTGCCTTGGGTCCAGATGAGGAACTTTGGGATCGAATTAGCCCAGGGAAGGTCGCTGACTCTGATGGTGTTGCTTCCGGGTGGCAGAATGGCCAACTCGCAGTATTAGCAAACTCAACTGGCGACTTGGTTGTCAATAAACACCAGGCTGATGTCATGGTTAAAATTCTTGAGCAATGGAAGAGTCTTGTCGAAGGAAGGGACGTGGTTGAGCTTTACGACCTGCGAGAAGGGCATGATGATGTTTGGCAGAAAGGCGAGGAGCTTGCTAATGTTATAATCACTACGATTAAGAGATTGGCCAGGAATAAGGACATAGCATGCTAAAAATAGTGACTTAATATTCCCGTTCGTTGACTAGAAAGGATATTGTACATAGTCGAGATAGGGTAAAGTATTACTCTTGTTATTTTTCTGATATTTACTTCCTTGAACGAACAGGAACAGTTTTCTATCCCTAATGAGAAAACATAAATGTATAGGATGCCGCCTCGAAAAAGACCAAAATCCGCTTTCAACGCCATCACTGGAACGCCTTCAATATGCATGGTTTCTTACGGCGAAGTAACATAGCGAAAAGAAAACCACCGTATCGGGATGAATCGACAGATGGAAGAGCTGAGAAATAGTGAGGAGAGTAGTCAAATGAGTGACCGAAAAGCAAAGTCCAGGAATCTCAGTTAGAGTAACTTGCTTTGGGATGCTGGACCGAGTGGAATTGGATGTCTAAATCCCCACATCCATGCGTGCAGAATTAGTGCCTCCAGCTGCTAGAGTTCCTTTTGCCGGCTCCAACTTATCATCCACTTCGTCGTCGTCATCAAACTCATCATTTTCGTCTTCACTATCCTCAATGAATCCAGGATCCATATTCACAGCATGGAGACGCGCTTTCATCTCTTCGCGCTGAGCATCCTGCCAGCGAGCCAAAGCAGCGCAGGCATGTACCTTGAAACCGTAGATGCGGGGTTCATAGCGGCGTATGCTCTTTTCTGGCACAAGAGCTGGATAAACCTGGAAGAGGATGTTGTGAAAGGAAGTACCGAAGTAGGCTCCGTCAATAGAAGCATGGCGAGAGGACTTTGGGTTGTAAATATCTTCACATTTTGCGCAGTATAGTTTCACGGTCTTCTGATTAGCCAGATCAGACTGGCCCATGGGAAGTAGTGGGTGTTGGTCGCACAGAACACGAGGACATTTTCCAAAGTCGCCCTTTTTGTATTTGTCAAGCTGCACAGAGGACAGTGTTAGTGTCATGTCAAAAATGCCCAATGAAAACAAAATAGAACAAGAACCCGTCTCAACAAACGTACCATCTTGGCCAGCCCACGAGTGGTGACAATATAGCGAGCGTGAACCAAGCCATAGAGATGACGGGCTGATTTCTCAATCTGCTCACGGAGTTCGTCATCGGCGTCGAGATCGAACACATCTGTAATCAAGTCGAGAGCGTACTGGTAGTACTGAACTTCAGTATTAAGCCCAGTCAGATTGAAGCGGTCGGTCAAGTATTCTTCATCAATCTCGCAGAAGTACTCGTTGCCTCGAGAGGATATGAACTGTGGGGTAAAGGAACGGCGAAAGTCAATTTTATCATCTTCACGAGGGCGGAATGCAAGAGAAAGATAGTGAAGGCTCTGGACAACGTGCGGAGGAACATTGATGTCTTGTTGAGGAGAGTCGACATTGAAGATGCTCGAGCTGCCTCTTAAAGACCCCATTTGATAAGAAGATACAGCAAAGGTCATCAAACGAAAGAAAAGCAATGCAATTGGCAGAGAAGTCTCCAGAGAATGATTCAATGAAGAACAAGGGTGGGCGGCAGTCGTTCATGTGAGTTGGGAATCTTGAAGGCGGACACGCCCGCTGTTTCCCAACAGAATGGCAAGTCACAGTCTGCCAAACTGAGCAAGCAAAGACAGCATGTTTGATTACTGTCTGGACCAGAGAAGCGAACAAAAGGGATGTGTAGGATATGGTTTTTGAGTAAGAAAATAAGAACACACAAGGAAAATCAAAGCAAGAGGAAGAGAAACGCTCCAAGTTGCACAGAGAAAATAGAGTCGTACTCACCCAGTCTCTCCAGTAACTTGTATAGTCACTGTCAGTCTCGCTATTAAAGTCCTCCATGATGTGCTCCCCAGTCGAGAATCTGAATGCAATGTTTCTTAAACGATGTTTTTCCCTCTTAGCCGCCCACTTGTCGAAAGGGCCAAGTGCGACCGGCCGGGCGAGGACTGACAGCAGCAGTCTGCCCAGTTGTTGTCTCTCTTGTTGTGATGAGCAGCAATGCAAAAAACGTCCTGCCTGGCTGATATAGAGGACTGTGATGCGATGAGATGGCAAGCAGGGCTGTGAGCACACAGAACAGGGTGGTGATAATGCACTGCAATCTCGCCAGTGTAGATGCGGGGCTCAGCTGGCAGTATCAGGCGGTGAGGAGTGGCTAGTGCTCCTGGTCTTTCTACAATGGTAACATTCTTGCCTGGATAGATTTACTTCTACTAAGTAAGAATCTTTTATAGAAAATTCATATATCAATGAGAGGAGATTCATATTGATAGCCTATTAAATGATTCTTAGTGATGTTCCCCATAGCAAAAGGATGCACATCTCAAGCAGGCTTCAGGAAATAACTTGTCACAGCAGGTTATAATCTGTATGAGAAAATCACAGAAATGTAAATCATAAATAGAAAAAAGGGTGTAGGGTGCATTTATAATGCACATCTGTCATAATGTCTGGTAAAGAGAAAGGGAAATGAAATATGTGCCAGTCTGGAAAATCACAAATGGATATCAAAATGAGAATGAAAACAAAAAAAGAAATTGCTGTCAAAGCTAATTTAGAACCGTTGATTGTCTGCAGCCAAATCACACTGTTCCAAGAATTTGTAGATTCCTTGTACCCCTTCATAGTCAGAGAAGCTCTCTTTTGTGTCTAAACCTTGAGACAATTCAGGAAAGAATTCTCGATCCCCAAGCTCGCTCACACCAACGCTGGAGAACCCAGATGGCGACGAGACCCAGGGATTGTTACCAAACATTTCGACATCTTCAAAGCTAATATGGCCCGCTTCATTAGAAAGTCCGGGTGACGTTTGACCCGACATCATCAGGCGCCAGTCTAGCTCATGTTTCTCTGCATGCCGAGGATTCTCATGACTTGTAAAGAGGTCTGTTGCTGGAGACGGAGCAATGCTGGGCGCGAATGGAAATAAAAGTGCCATCTCTGTACCATTTCGCTGTTCGAAATCTTTGTCCTGAAAGATACGGCCACGTTCCACCCCAACTTCGTCGCATAGCCGTTCTACTTGTTCAGCATCACAGCCCGGAAAGCGTACACGAAGAGTAGATTTATTTTCGAGTGACACGGGAAGGTCACCCAATGTCCCAAGACGTTTAAGGTCATTCAAAACTGCTGCTAAATCTTTCAAAGCACGAGCAAAGTCAATAGAAAGTAGCTCCATTAAGCCTTCCGACCCAAGAGATTCGTTGTTGAGACTTCCAATGGCAGTAATCGTCGGGGACAGTTGGAAATCAATGTAAGATCCTGGAACTTGGCGGGAGGCCTCTGCCATCTGGCGTTGCGCTTTATCTTGAAGTGCCGTCACCGTCTTGAAGCGCTTTTCGCCGGTGCGTGGATCAATACCATCGAAGCGGGCTTTTTGGCCGGAAAGCCAGAACCCACGCATCGCGACGGAAACATTGTGGATAACCTGTGAAGGTGCGGCAGGTCCGTGAGAGAAGTATCTTGCTCCACCAAGTCTGCCTGCTCCGACGCTATATCCACCAGCAGTACGACTAAGGGTTCCACCGGTCAAGTTTGGACGAAGAGCAGATGTGAAAGGCGAGTGAGACGTAAGCCGCCCAACCATTTGGCGTATAGATGAATTCTGAGATGTTTTTCCCGAGGGACGTGAGGACTGGCGCAGGTATGTACCTATGTAGACGCCTGCGCGTGTGGAGAAGCGGCGGCTTTGAGCTTGTCGAATAGCTGCAGCTCGACTGATAGGCTGTCGAGGAGTAATACGTGCATATTCTAGTTGAAGCTTTGGGTGAAACTGTTGTGGAGAGTCTGGGAATCGAGCCTTAAGGGCTTTGGCCGTCTTCTCGTAGGCAAACCTAACACCGGTCAGCACGTCGTACCGAATACTATGTAAAACCGGTCTTTCTTACCTTGCTGCTCTCCAGATTTTGGGGAGCAGCAAATGCCCACTCGTTGGCGGCATGGCTATCGTAGCCCAGAAGGGTCTTAGTTCGAGATTCGATAGATCGAGAGGCGCAATGAATGGAGTAAGCGATGGTTGATGCCTGGGTTATGAGGGATATCGGACGTGCCGGGGTAGGCACGTGTGGCGGTGCAGTTTGCGCTTTTCGCCACATATCGGACGCCATAGTGGAGCACCAGCCACTTGAGCCAATCAGCGGTGTTCTCAGTTTCTTATCATTCCCAGCCGAGTTTTCTGATTGGACAATCGTCTCTTGCATTTACAATTTTCTATCGCATGACATCAGAGCAACCATCTAGGTTAACTAACTTAGTTACAGTAACACATAATAGTAGTGCTTCATTTTGATAGCTCCTTGCTCTTATTCATCGTCACCAAAGAATACCTTCACAGGTAGCCAGTCATCATCGCATACCTTGAAACGATCCTTGAGGTTGCTTAGTTGCTCTAGCTCCTCGGGTGTGAGGTCCCAGCCATCAAGCTGGAAATTCTTCTCGATTCGCTCCTTGTTCACTGACTTTGGAATGACACTCCACCCTTTCTGCAGACCCCAAACGAGCAGAACCTGTTGAGGTGTCTTGCCCTTGTTTTCCGCAATTTTGAGGAGAACTGGATCTCTGTATAGAGGAGAGTTAGTGGAACCCAAGCAGGAATATCCAGTAGAATGAATTCCTTTCGAGGTGTTGTATGCAACCAATTTTGGTGAAGGGTTATTTGGGTGTAATTCGATTTGATTGACTGCCGGAATGATCTTTGTAGTTGGCGCGTTGAGCAGAATCTCTAGGTTCTTGATCCCAAAGTTGGACACCCCAATATTCCGCACCTTGCCAGTGGCGGGCAGTTTCTGCATTTCCTCCCTAATATTACGCATGAGTATGAATGCTTGGTTGAACTTGTATTAGATAGTACTGCTCTTACCATGTCTTAATGAAATCCCAGTCGGGGAGGTGCTTCTTCTTGTCGTTCGGGTCTGTCGAGGAAGGCCAGTGGACGAGATAGAGATCAACGTAGTCGACACCCAAGGAAGCCAGGGAGGAGTTGATACCGTCCTCAACTCGATGGTGCCATGTGTTGTCGAGCTTGGTGGTGATCCAGATTTGCTCACGAGGGACACCTGAATCTCTGATTCCATCGCCAACCTCTTTCTCGTTCGCGTAAGCTAGAGCGCTAGTCCACCTTCCTTTAGTACTATTGATATCGTACAACCAAGGGACATATTCGCTTACGTATCGATGTGACGGTAGCCAGCGAGCAAAGCAGCCTTCACTGCCTCTCGGACCTCATTAGGTTTGGATTGCCAGGTACCGAGGCCGACTGCAGGAATCTTGTCCCCTGTGTTGAGGGTAAAAACCTTTCTGCACACTTGATTAGACCTCCGGAGGAATTTAGCATTTGCATGCCGCTTACTTGGTGTGTTCCGAGGTAGACATCTTGCGGAATAGTGGCAGATGGGGGCTCTGGTTTTGAAGTTTTGAAGATGAGAAAACAGGCTGTGCGGCGGCGAGGTGTCAGAGAAGGGGATATTAATACTTAAAGTGATATCACCTAATGCGCGCAATGCGCATGGCTCTAGTGGGTCTCCAGTGGGCATCGCCATGGAGTTTGAACAGAATTCCCCTCGGTCACGTCACGGAGCCTCGCGGTATCGGCTTGGCTGAGGGTGTCTGTAACAGGAAGGTGCCAATGGCCAGGCTTGTTCATAAGCGGTTAAAGCCGATGCGGCTTCAGCTGCCAGTTTTACGTCACCGCCTTTTTCTGCCGCTACTACCAGAGCTTGATTGGCTCGCTTGAACTTCTAGCGTTTGATTCTTTCTATAATGCGCCAAAACTGCAGTCCCAGTAAGCAGGTCCAAGCTACGTGCTTTCCGTGAGGTTCTTGGGAGCCTTGCATTAAGGTTCCATAATGTCGTCCCGCTTCGTTTCGGGAGGCACCATCGATGAACCAACTGAGCGAGACGATGAATGGCGTCGTGCTCAGCAGGAGATTGAGGAGGAGAGGCGCCGGAAGGCAGAACTTGGCAAGCAAGAGGGTGGAAAAAGTTTGTTCGACGTGTTGCAGCAAAACAAATGTAGGTGTCTTAAATCCACGGTCTTGTTACCTCAGAGGAGAAGGGGCCATTTAACACCGGGGAGGATGTAAAGAAATGGGGCGGGAAATGCTGTATAAGAAGCAAAGGCTAATATAACAGGATGGTGCTGTTTTGAGTAGTGGCCAAACAAGAAGCATTTGAAGAGTCCATACGCCTGAAGAACCAGTTCCGTGCCTTAGATGAAGATGAAGTCGATTTTCTTGACTCTCTTCTTGAATCTACCCGAGCGCAGGAAGCGGCCGTGAAGAAAGAAACTGCCGAGCATTTAGCAGAGTACCAACGTCAGCGCGAAGAGGCAGAACGAGCTCTCATGGAAGGCCCATCTGGTGGACAAAAAGGCTCTGGAACCGGCACCAATTTACCAGGAGACGAAGAGCAGTGGGTCGTTGGAGGAAGGAAACGCAAGCGTAACAAAAAGGACGCCTTGGTCCCTCCCAAAATTCGCAAAGTCTCATCTACCGAGGACGGTGTTACTCCTTCAGCGGTGCCTAAAGCGAAATTGAATACGGTGGTATCAAGTGAAGAAAATACAAAATCGGTTACTCCTACTTCTCCATCCGCACCGAAACTAGCTAAAACTGTTTCGGTCGAGAAGATAGAGAGCCCAAGTACGGAGCCTTCGTCTAAGAAATCAGAGCTGCAGCACAAGGCAGCTTCCGGGCCTTCCCTTGGTTTGGTTGCATATGGCTCTGATGAAGATTCCGAGTGAAGAACAATATCCTCGTCGAACATAAATCCATCAACCAAACAATGTGCCATTACAAATTTACGGAAGTGAAGGCGTAATGGCATGCACCAAAGTGGCAACACGTGGTGTTACGCTTTATGATACAGCGAGCATCCAACGTTGTGGGATTATCTGAAGCAATCTTCAGCTTACCAAGGCTACACTGACCAGTAATCCAGCTCCGCTGATTAACATGCATAGCATACATATGTACAGTACTTCCAAAAATCATTTACAAGATGCAGTGGCACCTCTAGCAGCCGAACGCGCCATTGAGATAGCATCTACATTGATTGATCTCGCACGGATTGAAACTGGAATTTCTCCTGATGACCCAAGGCCCACAATTTGCTCTGGCAAATGGATTGTATTAAACCCAATCTGAACAGAGGGTAGCTTTGATGCTCAAGAGACGTACACCCTGTCAGACGCATTTGTCGTTGGTTTTCCTCCACGCTTCGTTCGCAAGAGCAGGATCTCTCCATGGTCTGCATTTCTCAAAGCGTCAATGTAATTTCACCGCTCATCCCAAAGAAACCGGAATTATCAAGCAGACAACTTCGTGGTTATTGTTCCTCTATTCCAAGTATATGCGGGGCTGAACTACTGCTGCGCATGTGGCTTGTGGTTCATACGATAAAAAAAATGCCAAGCCCATGGCTACGAAGTGCTAAACTTACATCTTGGCTGGATGTTTAGTGCCATGTTAAGCGATGGTGATTTCATAAATGTGATCACTATCAATGTTCACGAAAACAAAGACTTCAAAGTCAAGGTTGAAGGCTCTAATAACCCAGCCAATGTATTCATTGTCACTGGAACTGACGTTACAGTAACAAAAGCTGGAATGGACACCACTACTCTGTGTTAGCAAAGCATTCATTGACCTTGGTGGATCGGAAAGCGCTGATCAAAGTTGTCTTGACTAATACCTGTTGACTATACAGTCGCTTTGTTTTAAAACACTTTAGTATAGGTGGATAGATTTATTATAGAGACAGGATGTTGATGCATATAATAAGTTTCTCATACGTCTCTTTTTGACATTGAGAAAGCCTGTGTCCCAAAACGGCAAAGCGCAATATCTTCCTTGATTGGCTAAGCGCCAAAATTAGGTTATCACGTGACATGGTCGGCGTTGCCGCCATCTCAAGATAAAATGTTCTCTTTCGGTATTTCGTTTATCTACTCGACATTGCCACATTTTCAATCAGATAAGCTTCAGGCCAGTACGAAGAAAGAAACTGAATAAAGGCGAGGAAAATAGTGGCCTGCTCAGGACGCAATAGATGGACACTGTTTACCAATATCGGCCAAAGAACACTCACATAGTATATACGGTTGGAGCTTTCACGTAATACTCACATCTCACACATTAGTTGGCCTGCAACAATGGCTCGCCGCGGGGATACGCGCTCACCATCACCTGTAGGCAGCACATATTCTTCGTCCAGACGAAGTCGCAGAGATGAGGACCGATACGAGAGAAATGGACGTGATGAGGGGAGGTCACACCGTCGATCACGCAGCCCTGATGTAAGTCTATGCCAACACCAGTCCTACGGCTATCAAATGGCATACCGCGATGTCAATCTAACACAAAGTCTACAACATCAGAGACGATATCGGGATAGAGAGAGAGATCGTGATCGCGACGGCTATCGGCGACGAGATCGGTCGGTAGATAGACGGGATCGGAATGGCTACCGGGATGAACAAAGCTACAGGTCAACCAAACGAGACCGTTCGCGTGACCGACGACGCTCGCCAGACCGACGCTCTGATCGGGACTATCGACGGAGGAGCAGGGAACGGGACAGAAGTCGTGAAAAAGATAATCGGAGTAGGCGAGATGACTCCCGCGACCGAGTCCGAAGGCACAGAGACGATTCTACTGACTCGAGGCGAAAGTCCAGAAGAGACAGCAGAGACAGGTCTTTGAACAGAGACTCCGATGTAAGGTCACGAGAGGTATGTTCAATTCTAAATTCAAGTCGTCATCGGGGCTGACTTACAATATCACGCAGGCATCCAAAACTCCGGCCCCCGCTCCAGTTGCTCAGACAGACCAGGAGAAAAAGGCTGAGCGGCTTGCCAAACTGGAAGCATGGAAACAAAAACAAGCAGCCGAACGCGAGCGCAAACAACGCGAGCTTGCTGCCGCTGGTGGTGCTCACAGTATTTTGAATGAGATCGACAAGAGATCAGAGCTTGCCACAGGTGCCCCTGCCCCTATATCTCCCAGTACGCCAACTTCGACAGTTGATTATGGTGGGAAGTTTGACCCCAGAGCGATCGCAAAAAAGTCTACCGGTGCTGCGACAGGACCATCTCTCTTGGGCAAGGACGTCGCTGTTCCTGATTCTGCTAAAGCTGATGGTATAACCAAGGCTAACAAAATCCCAGTTGCTTCTAGCAAGGCTTCCGGTAAGTGTTTCTACTTTGGCGAATTTGTTGAAATCACTGGTTTTAACGCAATGTTTTCAGTGGTTCCTTTGAAGGCAAGCGGAAATGTTGGCAAGTTTGGGTTTGGTAATAAAACCGCCATCGAATCCGAAAAATCTTCCGCCAAGCGTACTTTAGATTTCGGCGAAGAGGAGTCCACTCGCAAGAAGCTTGAGAAACTGCCTAGCCTTCCACTCGAAGATGCAAAGGATACTCCCGACGATGTGGTTGTGGAAGATGATGATTCCGATGTAGATATGGAGACTGGCACAGAAGAAGAAAACGCAGCAGCGGCGCGAGCAGCCGCGGAGAAGCGAGAGGAACGTCTGCAGAGTCAACAAACTTCTCAAAGCATTGAGCCTAACGGTGATGTCGAAATGGGTGATGCAGTACCTACAGAGCCGACAGATAACGGCATGGCCGTCGAAAATGCCGATGAAGAGGAAATAGATCCTTTGGATGCTTTTATGTCTGGTTTGACAGAAGCAGCTCCTTCCAAGAAAACAAGTATAGTCAAGTCGGCTAAAAGCAAGCAGCAGCAGCCGCAAGCTATATTCGGTGACGAAGATGAGGTGGATATGTCAGCTGTGGCTGAGGGTGACACGGATGATTTCCTCGCGATAGCCAACAAGGTCAAGAAGAAGAAAGATATTCCCGCCGTCAATCACGCAAAGGTTGAATATGAGCAATTTCGGAAAAGCTTCTATACCGAGCCCCTTGATTTGGCCGAGATGACCGAAGAAGAAGTAGCTAATTTGAGGCTCGAACTTGATGGCATCAAGGTTCGTGGAGTTGACCCGCCCAAGCCGATTCTGAAATGGTCTCAATGTGGTCTTGGTGTACAGACATTGGACGTGATTGGTAAGCTTGGCTATGAAAACCCAACTTCAATCCAGAGCCAGGCTCTTCCTGCTATCATGTCCGGAAGAGACGTCATTGGTGTTGCTAAAACAGGATCTGGAAAAACCGTTTCTTTCCTCCTACCTATGTTTCGTCATATTAAAGACCAACGTCCACTGGAAAATATGGAAGGCCCGATCAGTCTCATCATGACGCCTACGAGAGAATTAGCAACCCAAATTCACAAGGATTGCAAGCCTTTCTTAAAAGCACTGAACCTCCGTGCTGTATGTGCTTACGGTGGTGCGCCAATCAAAGACCAGATCGCCGAGCTGAAACGAGGAGCAGAGATCGTCGTTTGCACACCTGGCAGAATGATTGATCTTCTAGCTGCTAATTCTGGGCGGGTCACAAATTTGCGACGAGTCACTTATGTGGTACTCGACGAGGCTGATCGAATGTTTGATATGGGATTTGAGCCACAGGTTATGAAGATCATGGCGAATATTCGACCCACCAGGCAGACTGTATTGTTCTCTGCTACATTCCCTCGTAATATGGAAGCTCTGGCACGGAAGACTTTGACCAAGCCAGTGGAAATCATCGTTGGTGGCAGGAGTGTGGTTGCACCTGAGATCACACAGATTGTTGAAGTTCGCAACGAGAGCAGCAAGTTTCTGCGACTTCTAGAACTTCTCGGCAATTTGTACTCTGACGAAGCCAATGAAGATTCTCGAACGCTCATCTTTGTCGATCGCCAGGAAGCTGCGGATAGCCTACTGCGCGAATTGATGCGCAAGGGCTATCCTTGCATGTCCATTCATGGAGGTAAAGATCAAATTGATCGCGACTCTACTATTGAGGATTTCAAGGCTGGCGTCTTTCCGGTTTTGGTTGCGACATCAGTTGCTGCTCGTGGTTTGGATGTGAAACAATTGAAACTGGTTGTCAATTACGATGCACCAAATCATTTGGAAGACTATGTTCATCGAGCCGGACGAACGGGACGTGCTGGAAACACAGGAACGGCGGTAACTTTCTTGACTGAGGATCAAGAACGATATTCAGTGGATATTGCTAAGGCACTCAAACAAAGTGGCCAGGAAGTCCCAGCCCCGGTACAGAAACTGGTTGATTCATTCTTGGAGAAGGTCAAAGCCGGTAAAGAGAAAGCTTCTGCATCTGGCTTCGGGGGGAAAGGATTGGAACGTCTGGATCAGGAGAGAGACGCGGCACGGAATCGCGAACGCAAGACGTACCGTACCGGCGAGGAGGGCGAAGAGGAAGAGCGTGAAGAAACGAAAGAGAAGAAAGGCGAAGATCAATTCGCCAAGGCTGCTTCCGCTATTCAATCCGCTACTGCTGCTGCTGTTACTCCCATGCCAGGTGTTCCGAAGGGCATCGACCTGGACGGCAAGATCACAGTTCACAAAACTGAGAAACCAGCTGCTGGAAAGCCGTCAAATGATCCTCTGGACAAGGTTGGTTCAGCTGTTGCAGATATCCATGCACGCCTGAACCGTGCTGGAGTGATGAGAACCGGTGTTCCGATTGACAACAAGGGACCTGATGCAGGAGCATTCCATGCGACTCTTGAAATCAACGACTTTCCTCGTAAGTTCTTACCCTTGTTCCTATTCCACCACATTTCACTTTCTTGTTCCTTTTTTTTGGTTTCTCTTGTTGCTAATAACGTTTCAATCTACAGAAAAAGCACGTTGGGCCGTCACCAACCGTACCAATGTCGCCAAGATCCTTGAAGCAACCGGCACTTCCATCACTACCAAAGGAAGCTACTATCCTGCGGGCAAGGAGCCAGGGCCTGGCGAAAACCCTAAACTATACATTCTTGTTGAAGGTGATACGGAGCTGGTCGTAACGAATGCTATGCGAGAATTGATGCGGTTGCTGAAAGAAGGTACAATTGCAGCGGCGGATAGTGAAGCTAGGGCACCGACTAGTGGACGGTATAATGTTGTCTGAGAGAGAAAACAATATCTCCTCTCTTTTTTTCTTTTTCTTTTCGATTTGTTGTTCTTAAACCCTTTTTATACCAAGTTTATTCAATGCAACGAATACTTATTTAATTATTGCATATGCGATTTAGTTTACTTGATATAGAGGTAACAAATAAAAACTCATTTACGCTCTAGTTATTGTCGTGAGTCGGTGTCAAGCCAGGCCTCTTATCTAATACTCAAAAAGAAGATTCAATTAATTCATAGCGTCGTCTAACTCCATCAGGGCTGATTATTGATTCTAGTGCATTAGAAAAATGAAATGAAATGAAAAGAAACCATAGCAAAGAAGTGAAAAAAAGACCACATATCGTACCCTGTACCCTGAAGATGAATCGCGGGTATAATTTTCCAACGTTTTATGAAAATCGCCTCATAACACATCAAATCGAAGTTGAAAATAAAATCGTCTATGATTGTTCCTTTCTTTAGCTGATTGTACCTATCTGCATTGGACTTGGAAAGTCGGACTCGTAGAGAAAGGGCTGTTCTCAAGTTTGTGGGTGGTTTTGAGATGGCGCTTGAGTTGGTCTGCACGTGCCACGTTAGTATAATGCTCATGCATGATGCTATGGGATGTCAGGGATACGTACCAGGACGAGTGAAACTTTTTGTACAACCCGGAAAAGTGCACTTGTGTCTTCGTCCGCTGTGCGTTAATTTATGACTAGACATATTCGACGACTGTGGATAGGCAAAAAAGAGTCAGTTGCCGAACACATCAAGATAAACTTTGATAGATATATGGACGTACATCACCGGTTTGGAAGTCACAGCCTGGAAAGGTGCATTTGAATGGCTTTTCGCCAGTGTGAGTACGAGAATGAGTCTTGAGCTCGCTGCTATCTGTGAAAGCCTTGCCGCATTCCTTGCATTTAAAAGGCTTCTCCCCACGATGACTACGCTCATGACGCTCGAGAGTTGCTTGTCTCGCGAATGCTTTTCCACATACGGAGCAATTAAAGTTCTTGTCTGCGCCGAGAGTTAGCTGTCAATAATATTCTGCTTTTTAGATGGAGAAAATCATACAATTGCTGTGAGTGAGAAAATGTCCTTGAAGTTTGGACTTTTGAGAGAATGGCTCGTCGGGTCGGTGGCAACCTTGCCAGCAGCAGTAATAACCCTGGCCTTGAACCCCGTCTATAGGTTTCATATGCTCCGTGATCAGATGTTTTTGAAGCTCTCCGGCAGAGGCAAACGTGGTATTGCATCGGTTCCAGCGGCAAACATGAGATGCCAATTCCTCTGCTATCCCTGGAGTGGGGCTTGTCAAAGTGGAAGACATAGCCCTATCCAAGGACGGAGGGCTGTCAATGAAACTTGACATTGTTTGAGAGCTTATACTTTTTCGAGAACAGTGATGGCGAGAGTAATGAGACACCCTGTGATGGGCTTGGCCATGATAATGACGGTGAACACGACTTTGCGCTTGCGACTTTGAAAACCCGAGCAATTTCGTGTCCCCAGAATTCCGGAGGTAGCATCCAAGATGCTGAAACCCTGTATCTGAACAAGATGGTGCTCCACCATCTTGGAAACAAGGCATCTTGGTGGTATCAAAGGGCTGATTAAACAATACATTATTGTTCGACTCTGTCGTATAGAGGGCTGGATCACCTAGCACATGGCTCATGTTCCCGTGGCACATATCCACTTGATTGGTGAAGGTAGGGCACCATAAATGATTGGAATCCTTCATGTAGTGTTGGCACGAGGTCGCAGGAGTATGTCCTGATCCATGACAGTGAGGGTCAGAAAGGACATTGTCTGTATTGCAAGGCGTTGGAGCCAACTGGTCTGTCATATGCGAGTCCGCCACCGGGACATCGGCTTGGTGGTCGGCCATGGAAGGTAGAAACATCGAGACATCCCACTGGAAATTTGAATCTTGGAGGAAATCTGCGGTGCCGTTATCCAGATTCTGACTTTGACCACCAAAGCAGTGTTTATCGAAGCAGGCGGCTCCCGTGCTTTCACAATGAGGTTCCTCACAGTCCGCATCGTCGCAATCCGCGTCATCACAGTTCACATCAGAGCACACTGTCGAGGAGATTTCGCAGTCAACGAAGCCATCACAAACCGACGAGCAGTTGAGCGAACAGTCGTCGTTGTTGCAACAATTTTCGTCTACCTTGCAGGCCATGTCTCCGGTGTGGTGGACATCATCACAGTGCCATTGATCGGACGGCGGAAGCATGGGAAATTTTGCCGAGATGTCATCGAACGCATCCCAATGACAGTCGAGGCAGAAATCGCCAGGCTCTTGGGACGACATGGTGTCGGAGGAGAAAAAGAGCGCGGAGAGAATCCTGCGCTTAGACACAGCGTACTTTCGGTGCAGACGATCGATCAGCGGGGCTACTAGAGGGTGCACGAAGGAAGGTGCTATGAGAAATCGAAGCGAATCGGTTAGCCTAGGATCAACAGAGAAAAATCTGCCACGCTGAGTCCACGCAAGGCATGAGCGGTCTAAGACATACTGTGCTAGTCGGTCAACAAGACAACCAAGGCATCGAGCCGCGGGTTCGACTCGTATGAGCACGCATTAGCGAGAAAAGCATAGAATTCTCATAGGGCAGATGGGTGGAGAGGGGTCACGCCCATGGAGTTGCTGCAGCGGAATGAGGACCTTGGAGGCGAGGCAGGACAGGTTGAGTTTTAGCCGGCTTTGTTGGCGCCTCGGGGGATGTTCGACGCTGGCTGGGAGAAATTACCGCTGAGTGAAGGGATGGCGCCGATGCTGCGTGCGAGAACAGCTCCCCAGGCAGGCACTCTGGCGAGGGGGCATGGTGGTGAGAAGCAAAAGCAAAAGCAGGAGCGAGGAGCAAAAAGAGCGGGAGCCAATCAGCTGCACGTCGCATTCGATGTCCGCCAATCAGCGCCGGGCTCAAAGCGAGCATCTCCAACAAACACCATTGGCTCTTTGCGAAATCAAGAGCTATGCAGCCCTGATTCTCTGTTTCACTAGAGAGATTATGAGGCTAATCAGGACGGATGTTGCTGTGTATGCGTTGTTGGAAGGAAGGGGTGTCCTGATGCTTATCACGTGGCCCCCGCAGCTTCCCGGCCAAGCCAGCCTGCGTTTCTTGTGCTGTGCGCATGCCATTTTCTCTCCATCCCCGCTCCTCGCTCCATCGGGAGTGCCTTTGGCTTTCTTTTTGTCACAAATAACTAGGAAGGAAATGGGGAACATCTGCTCCAAGTCGGCTAACCAGCCCGACGACTCGTTCTCGCAGCCAGGCCGTGTTCTCGGCTCGTCAACCGCAAGCCCACCTGCTCGCGCACCAGTGCCCAGCAATGCTCCATCACAAAGCCCTGGAAGGACACTGGGAGGTGTGCCGTCATCGGGAGATACCGGTGACGCCAGAAGTAAAGCCGCCGAGGCGGCTCAGGTAGAGTCACTCTTCTTGCATGATATTTGAGTAAAACAGCTCACTTTTCTTTTGTGTGAATATAGAAGCGTGCCGAAACACTCAGTGCGTCCAGTAAAGGGAAACTAGGGAGTCAGCTAGCCGCGCAAAAGGCTCAAACGCAGTCGCAGACACTGAATGAGGCCAGTCGCGCAGAACTGCTTGCCAGAAATGCGGATAATGCTGCCGAGACAAGGCAATGGAACTGATGTAGAGATACACGTTCAGATATACCGTTTCATTCCTTATCTGCTGCATGTTGTGGCTGTCGGTTGTGGCGCTACATGCTCAACAAACGTTACTTTCTTGCGCACTTGAATGTACATTATATAAGCATTCTAGCAAGCACAATTGTCTATTCCTTTTGTCTCCTCTACTTATGTCGTCATTCTCATACCGCCGTTGGCATTGACAACGCTGCCGGTACACCATGCCGCATCTTCCGTGCACAGCATAGCAACAACTCCCGCAACCTCGCTTGTGAAGGCAGGTCGTCGGCCGCCCATCTTATCGTGAATCAGCCGAATCTTCTCCGCGTCCAACCCCTCCAAATCACTTCCGTCTGGCGCAACTTTGCTCAGCGGGGTATTGTCCTGCCAGCCTTGCATATCTTTCCAGAACTCCTCTCCGGTCAAGAAGTACATGTCGCCGATCACAGGGCCGGGGTTTACCGCATTCACTGTGGCGCGGTCTGCCAACTCTCGTGCCCAGGTTCTTGTCATGGCTTCCAGAGCAGCCTTTGTGCCGCCGTACACCGACTGGCCCTCAAAGCCAAGACTGGAAGATACGCTGGAAATATTCACGATGCGTCCGGATCGATCTTGAGGCAAGTATGGGATACAAGCTTGCGTCAGTAGTAGCGGCGCAAGTACATTGATGTTGTAATGCCAGTGGAAGTATTCTGGATCAATGGGTCCTTTGGCAGAATCTGCAAGCTTTCGATCTTGTGAAACCCCGGCGTTGTTGATCAGGATATCGATGCGGAGAGGCTTGTCGCCAAAATGCTTCTTTGCGGCGTCGATTATGGTCTCACTGGCATCCTGAGCACTGGTGAGATCTGCGCGGACAGCGATGCAGTGAATGTTATGTGTACTGGAGAGAGACACGGCCAGCTCTTCGGTGCGAGCTCGTGACGAGTCGGACGTGTAGTTCAGTAGAAGCGAGCAGCCCTTGCTGGCAAGGTTTTGGGCGATTGCTTCGCCAATACCTGTACTCTACATCAGCGGCTGAATCCAATCGATGGTTCCCATGGATGAATTGTTCTCCCTTTTTTTTTTTCTTTCTTTTTATACATACCACGGGAGCCGCCAGTTATGATGCCAAACTTCCCATCGAGCAATCGAGCCATTGTGGACGCGTTTCCAGCTTGACAATTGAGCAGACAGGCATAAATCAGACACGTAGATGGATATTTATATTAGCGATGCTACCTATTGCTACGAGAACATGTTACTATTCGGAGATCTAACCGAGCTGGCGGGGTAATAGTATGGATTTAACCGATATCTCAGTTGCAATTTAGCCGCTATCGGGCTCGCTGCTGATTGGCCTCCGCCCACATGCCAGAACAATCCAACGGAGACAGCAAGGGTCCAAGGGATGTATCATCATTGATTGCATGGCTTCGAAGCGGCAATTATTGGCAATTATTGGCGGCTTGCCGAAAAAGAGATCCTTCCGCGATGCCTCTCGGCGACGCCGATAGCGTGCATTACATAATACAGCAATCGCACTAACTTACCGTGGTTAGTCGCAAAGGGAACGCTGAATAATGCATACATACATCCGCTAGTTACATGGCAGCTACGGTAGATACCAGGGTATAAGAATATAGCATGGATTGCGAATGGTGCCTGACATCTCAGAGTCGACTGCATGGATCGAGAGCCTGAAGCCACGTGTTGGGGGCAGACTAAAACGGGGCTGGTGCATTAGGCTGGAATCCTTGCAGCAGCTAAGTCGATTTGGTGCAGATTTAATTTAATGCTGATATTATTATTGTATTATTCCTTGCTCGCAGAAGAAAAAATGCTTCGCCCCTGTGTTGTTGCTGCTGTTGCACATTCCAACCAAAGAAAAATAAACAATTAAAAGTGCATTCATTGTCCTTGCTGACTTGCCAATCAATTGACGTGGTATTTGTCTTACTCTGATAGACTTTGGCGTGGTTCTCCATGCGCCACTTCCTCCTTCCGTCGATTCTCGTTCCCACTCTTGCTTCTTTCCTCTTCCTCGTCACTCTGACGGCGCTTGCCAGCAGCCCATTTCACCCGGTTGTTGCTATATAGTATATAGCCCTTTGAATATGCTCCTCTTCTACGACTAATGTCTCACGAAACGTATAGCCCAGTCGCCTAACCCCAGATGCTGTCCAGATTCGTGAAGCGCCTGAGTTCGCGCCAGGATCTCCGGGGATGGAAGGAGATATCCTCACACAAGGATGCCGCGCCAACAGCACCTGCCACGGCCACGGCAGAATATAAGATTTCTCGCAATCCAATGGACGTCACTTATGAGCTGCCTTCCACAATGAAAGCGCAGTATCTCGATGATTTCAACACCCCCTATGTACTGCGGGACGGCGTGCCGGTGCCGGTGCCTACGCATCCCTACGATGTCCTAATCCGGGTTGACGCCGCTTCTTACTGTCACACGGATTTTGTGCTTGCGTCTGGCCGTATGTCAAGCGTCGAGAAGCCTGTTTTCCCTCACGTGGGCTGCCATGAGTTCTCCGGCACTGTAGTTGCTCTTCCTCCAAATTCAGTTCAGGCGGATTTCAAAATTGGCGATCGTGTCGGTGCCTCTTGTCGCCCCTATCACGCCTGCGGGGAATGTGTTGAATGTGTCGAGGAGAGTACCCCTGATAGTGATCCAAAGGGGTCCTCTGTTCTGTGCCCGCTGATTAAATCCCATGGTATTGGAATACCTGGTGGGTGGCAAGAGTATGTACTAGTCGACTCGCGACAGCTGGCACTTATTCCTCCGGGCCTAACGCAGGTGGAGGCTGCCCCATTGATGTGTGCCGGGGTTACCATTTTTGCTGCAATCAAAAAGACAGGGCTCAAGCCTGGGCAGCGCATTGGCATTATTGGCTGTGGTGGTGGATTAGGCCATTTAGGCCTACAGTATGCCACGGCGCTGGGCTTCAAAGTCTACGGAGTTGAAAATTCTGATAGACCACTGGCTCTCGCGAAAAGCTTAAATAATATTTCCGGTGCAACTATCGTGGACGCCCGCATGACGACCGCTGCAGAAGCGATTGCTTCTATAGGGGTTGAGGATGGACGCGCGATCCCGGGGCAGTTCGGTCTAGATGCGGTCATCATTTTAGCGGAGAGTCAAACAGCATTTCAATACGGAGTCGACATGCTGAAGAATCACGGCAAATGTGTGGTGGTATCATTTCCTCCGGGTGGATTCCACACCAGCTCGTTAGATCTAATTTTCCGAGATATCACGTTTGTTGGAAACGTATCTGGATCCATCAAGCAGTTACGAGAAATGACCCAGTTTTCAGCAAAGCACGGGATCAAGGCCCAAATGAAGATCTTCCAGTTCGAGCAATTGAATGAGTTGGTTGAAACATATTTGTCAGGGCATGGTGGGAAGTTGGTAATAGATTATCACTTATCGGACAACTCGCCATCATGACATGTTGGAACGACTTCCACACTCAAAATATCTGAGTCAGAGCAGAGGTCAAGGTGACTGCCGCAGCGTCACCTGTGCGTGCGCGCATAACACTCCAGAACCATATCAGAGGCTGCGTATAGCAGGTGAATCTTGTCAAACACTCGGACACGCTCTCGGTACACGCGTTGGGCTGGTGCATGGTTTTGAGTGGTCCCAGGAAAGACAGCTGGTCAGACACTTCCCCGACCTCTTTAACATTTTCCCTTGTCTATTATTTCCCTTTTCACTTCCATCTTCTTTACGGTGTATTATTATGTGTCTTCCAGCGAGTCTTTCCCAGCCCGGAGTTTAAGCATAGCATATTTTGAATACGTGCCATCTACTGCTGTTTACGAGAGCGAATTGACCAATGACAAACGTTGATGTAACTACACAGTATACATATAATACTTCCAAGGACATAACTATAACTTGACGAAACTAACTAGTTATTCACTGGCTGGTCGAGTTCAGATGACAGCATCAATGTAAACAAGGCAAGCTGTACAAACATGGATTTTGATATTCCTTATAAGAACTATTAGTAGTAGGCTTGCATTCTATTGCTTCAGTCAACACGACCGTTGCGGAGCTCCCGCCTAGCGGTAGTCCGCGCAGTGCAAGTGGATCCTGGGAAACAAGGGCGGGTTAGTTGCAAAATATCAAAACTCTCTCCATTTAATCTCTGGCATGGCACGCAACTTGCAATCCCTGCTCACCGCTTCCTAAGTATGCGAAATCACGTTGCAGTGGCCTATACTCACATCCATCTTTATCGATACGCCGATTGAACAATTGCAGAACCGGACCTTGGGGCTCTCGGAGCGGAGACTAGCTGGCTAGTTATGAGATCCGACAAGCACTGACAAAGAAGTTTGGTGTAACCCCGGCGCAGCGCACAGCATCGATTAAGCAAGCGCCAGCTCAGGCGGACAAGCTAATCAGCAACGGCAATCCTGGCGCGTTAGCTTGGTATACTCGTAAGAACTAGGGAGGTGTCAAGATACAGGAAGGCATCTACCAAAGACTTGCTCTTAGGGGGCAAGTTGGGTGGGTCTCGACCCCTTCCGAAGGACTTTCTCAATGTTCACTATGCCGAATATACAAAATATACCTAAACCTACTTGGTCATCACAAGTCACCCTATCACTTAGTCTTACTGTTACTCTGTGTGTGTATTTGGAATTGGATTCTTCAATTTCGGTTTCAACATCTCCAGGGCGTCAAGAATGTATTTGTTCATCTTTTAGACACCGCCGAGTTGTATAAGTTGAAATTGATGTTCACTAAAGATCCTACACTGGCCTAGAATGATGACCACCCATCAGCCAGATGAATATTGGTATCTATTCATGACTCGCCATCTCCTCCAGCCTCCGAACGGCACTCTCCAACTCCCTAATCCTCTGACCAACCCTCTTCCTCACCTCCTCCTTCACACCCACACTGACATACTCCGGATCATAATTCGGCGCCACCCCAACAAAGCTATTACCGCTCAACGAGCCAGACTCGACAATCGGATTTCCCGCATTCAACGCCGACGCGGCATCCAAACGGTCTGCATTTGCCTGTTTCGGGTTCGGCGATACCGTTTCTGCGTCTTGCTGCGGTAGTGCTCCTACTTCTTCGAGCGTTCCGGCGGCTGATGAGCGGGTCATTTCTGTGTATACTTTGTACACGTAGACGAGTTGATCAAGGAGTTCACGGGCTGATTCGCGGTCTGATGCTGCATAGATGGTTGCGCTGTTTGTGCTGTCTGTGGCGATTTCGAGTTCATCTTTGGCGTTGTCATATCTTGTTTTTTTTGGAGTTGTCAATATCTTCATTCTAGATATAACAGAAACAAATTTTCAGACGTACAGCTCCTGCAGTTCTTCGACAATCAAATCCGCCTCACTCTTTCCGCCACTTGGCTTAAGCTCTGCATAACCGCGGTGCTGGATACGTGTTATGAACGAAGAAATAGGCTGAAAATAAGGCACTTGTCCAAATCGTCTAGCTGACGCAGATAGTCTTGATTGATACCTGGAGCTATGCAATTTATGATTATAAAACGATGCATTGCAGCGAAGTAGCATCGTTTGCGTGTGATTAAATTGCGACAACAGCGATAAACGCGACAGCGGCCGCGATGAGAGAGATGAGGCCATTTTTAACGAGGAATTAAAAGTAGAGCTTTTGTTTTGTAAGTTGTTTCGTCGGAGGGAAGATCTGACTGTTGACAAGGAGGAACTGACTGGAATGGTTGTTTGCTGGCCCGACGGCGCAATGACGCAACCCCTTAACTTTTATCTAATCAGCACGTGACTGATAAGCTATATAATTCTAACTAGTTACGACAGAGCTTTGCTGTTTTCCAGTTTATCAAGGCCATCATTCATAAATCATTAAGTACATTGTGCGAATAAAGTTGGGAATCAAAAAATGCGTTATCGAAGAAATCATCTATTTGATCGATACAACACAATAAACGTGGGGGAAAAATGATAATTGAATGCCCAGAAAAAACTATGCAAAGAAACCATCCCGTCATAAGTCATAAGTCATGTTCATGTCGTAAAGCAAATTTTTGCGCAAAGCAGATCGCAACTAAATACCAGAGGAATGGCTAGAAGTCAACAGGAATATCTGCGCCATACGGATTGCTGTCATAATAGTGCGGCCCTGAGTAGCCATACGGACTGGCAGATTGGGAACGTCGCGACGGTCTTCTCCCACCAAGACTCTGGGTTCGACGTTGTAATCGCTTCTCATGGCGTTCTTTGCATTTTTCCTCGAACTCTTTGTGCTGTTTTCGCTGTTCTTGTACTTCTTTCCACTCGCCAACAGCTCCCTTAATACCGAGAGCAGCTAACCCGATAGAAGCCACATTCTGCAAATCTGCTTTCCATTGCATCTTACGTTCCTGTTCCTTGGTAATTTCTCCCTCCCTTACAGCTTCCCGTCGTTTTTTCTGAGCCTCAATGTTTTTCATAACGCTATGTGCTGCATGTATCGTAGCCACTGTCGCAAGACCTCCTGTAATGAGCTCTTTTCGGAGCATCTTATTCTTTTCGCGTTTTTCATCGTCACTGGATCCAAGGTCAGAATCACTATCACAATCACTGTGGCACGCAACATTGTTATTTGGAGACCCAGTTCGCTTGGCTACAGCTCGAGAGGTGGAGCCATTGCCACTACTACTTCCATGGGAACGTACATCACGAGAAGACCTCCTTCGACGCCCAGATGACCGGTATGAACGATCGTCTTCGGAATCAGAATGATCCGAGGACCTCGCCCGATCACGTTGATTCTTGTCATCCAATCCGAGTGCAGCCAACCCTTTGTTTATAGCGCGAGATACGCTCGAACCACGCTTCTTGGACCCTCGGCCATCGTCATCACCGCGACTGTCTTGAGAGTCAGCAGAGTGATCGCGTCCGCGAGATCGAGATCGAGAAAATCGGTCGTAGGCTTGCTTGCCAGCGGCAGCTAATACACCTGCAGCAGCCAGGTTTCTGATGCTTCCGCTGCCACTTTGAGACCGTCCTCGAGTATCGCGTCTAGATCTCGACTTGGACCGGGATCCATTGACGAAGTGATTGGTAGCCATTCCAGCAAGGATTGACTCCAGGACATGGCGGCCACCGTGTTTGTTAGGATCGCGATCAATCAGACCATCCACACCTCCAGCTGAGACGGCCGCAGTCAAGACACGCTTGCCCTTGTCCCCTGTCCAGGGTCCAGGGTTTTTACGGACGCGAATTGCCTCTGCTGCACCGGCTGCTAGGGCGGCTTGCATGGCTTGAGCGATGCGACCTTCACTTTTAGCACGATGACCTCGGCTGCGGGATCGCGAGTCTGAGTGGTATCGACGACGACGGCCACGGTCGCTGGAACGGTCACGAGAGTGGTCACGGGCAGCTTTGAGTCCAAGAGCTCCTCCAATAGCACCTAGAGCGTCTTCTCCAAAGGACTTGCGTCTACGGGGACGAGGCGAAGGGCTGCGAGAGGACGAGTATGAAGAACGTCGTTCATAGCGGTCGCCTAGCACGAATGTTTTGTTAGCATGCATCGAATCGGACTTGGATTGTTTGCGCGTAGTTGCTTACGTCGATCATCGTAGCGTCTGCTTCTGCGGGGCCGATAGTAGTCATCGCGGCGATAGTATTCATCGTCGTAGTAAGGGTCACGACCGACAGAGCGTGCTCGCCGTGCGGTTGCAGCCCGACGGGGTCCTGGGTTGCCATAGTAGTACTCACCGGGTGGAAAGTCTCTGGGTACTTCCTCGACTACAGACTCTTCACTGTCGCCACGACGGATGAGACGTGTGTTGTCGTAGTCACGGTCATACCCATAACCACCTCGGTTGTCTACGTAGGTTTCTTCCACATAACCGCCGCCTGGACGGGAATACCTGTCGCGCTTGACACGATAGGCCCGACGATCTCGGGGATCATAGTATGACATGGCAGGGAGTTCAGCAAGCAAAGGAGAAGTAGTCGCTGCAGACCAAACGATAGAATCACAAAAATTGGACCAGCGACCGATGGGTGAGTGACTGAGTGAGTTGACGGGGCGAGAGCGAGAAGATAAGAGGAAAGAGCCAAGCCAAGAGGCGGGGTTGGCAGTCGCAGAGGGGGCGGTGTTGGGCCTGAGGCCAGACTCTATTGGCGGCCACCAACAAAAGTATATGCCATACGATACAGTCAGTCGATCTTCTTCGCTGTGTTCCAGCCAAGCCTCATCTGTGGCTTGAGCAGGGCCTTCTCTGGCGAATGGCGGATTTTCACAACGTCGATTGCTTGATGATGTTGACGGCCACCGCTTGATAGCCGGCGAGATGCAATAGGGGACGGGGAGAATCGCACATAAAGTCAAATTCGGGGGACAAGAAGGGGCTGCTCCTTTATATTCACTGGGAGTGTAATACAACCATGCAGTATGATGGTCGACCTGATGAGATGACGCAAAAGCAGGGGTTGACAAGCGAGGAGTAACCAAAGTGTATGTGATTGGGCCGTCTTCCAGGCTGTGGCTGGCAGCAACGTCATTTCTATAGACTAGACACTAGTCTGTCTATCCATCGCATGCGAGATGATGTCTCCTGTTGACTTGTTCTGCATGTTTTGACGTCGCTAGACTGGAAATAACCCGTCGGAACCACCCAGGCCGTTCCATGGTACTACATGTGCTTAATGCTACCTAGATATTGTCACTATATGGTTATACACTGCGCTTTTGTATATCACTAGCGCGCACACACACACTTTTGAGTCTTTTCCAAGGTTCCTAGAGGGGAAAATATCTATAGTAGCTGTTACTCGTTAGTCTATTTGAATACCATCTCACTTCCGGCCAATCTTCAAGTTCTTAAACGCCTGGGCGTTCTCCTTGATAGCAATCTCCACCGGTAATCGCTCCATGCTACTGGCCCCGAAAAACCCGTGAACGCCCTTGGTACGATTGAGCACATATTCCGCATCCTTTGGTTCTGCGATGGGCCCACCATGGCAGATAACGATTATCTCCGGGTTGATCTTAACGGCAGCATCGCGAATGTCTTGGACAATTTTCACAGCATCATCCAGTGACAATGCCGTCTCCGCCCCAATAGTTCCAGAGGTAGTCAGTCCAACGTGCGCCACAAGGACATCAGCGCCTGCGCGAACCATCCGCTCTGCCTCGTCGACATTAAAAACATACGGTGTCGTGAAAATATCCATTTCTCGAGCAACACGGACCATCTCTACCTCTTTATCGTATCCCATTCCCGTCTCTTCAAGGTTCCTCCGGAAGTTTCCGTCAATCAAGCCCACAGTGGGAAAGTTCTGGACTCCTGAAAACCCCAGTTCCTTCAGTTGGCCTAGAAATTCAGGAATGTTTTTGAAAGGATCTGTTCCGCATACACCTGCAAGCACGGGGGTGTTTTGGACAATCGGTAGAATTTCCTTGGCCTGAACAGTTGTCAATTCAAACTATTCGCGTGTTTCATAACACATCCTTGTGCAGGTATCTATACGTACCATGTCCACCACAACAGCATTTGCATCACTGTAAGGCATCAGACCCGCCAAGGAGCCTCGGCCTGCCATTCGGAATCTCCCAGAATTGTAAATGATAATCAAGTCCGCTCCGCCCTGTTCTACCGATTTGGCAGAAAGACCAATACCTTTTAAAATATCAGTGCATACCATCATACAGTCGTACAGTCACGAAAATAATGATAATTGAGTCACATACCAGCCCCTGCCCCGACGATGATGCCGCCACCCGAGATGACTTTGCGAAGTCGCCCGAGGACCTCAGAACGATTTGTTGGACGGGGCATGACAATTTAAAGTGCTGCTTAATCAACAAGTCCTATATAATAAGATAGCTAGTTACAATAAGATGCAAGCTATTGTAGAAAAGATGTGGTTAGGTTAAGATTTCGGTAGGCTGCGGAAGCGGGGTCGGGCCGTGATGACATCACATTGACATTGGGGTAACTAGTTAATTTGGTTGCTTATCGATAACCAGATAGAGTTGTTGTAATACATTCTCATCATGACCCAGATAACTGGTTACAAAACCAAGCCTAAGCATAATCATTATACCAAAATATGGCACGCCCACGTATCATCATTCTGGGTAGCTGCGACACAAAGCTAGGCGAGACACTCTTTCTGCGAAACCAGATCACCAAGTCCGGCGAGGCCGAAGCACTTCTAGTCGATGTTGGCCACATTCCTGTCCAAAATGACCAGATCGATGTGACGAATCTCGAACTTGCAGCGCGCAGATCGGTCGATGCTGCTGCTTCCTTGGCTGAGTTGTCTCGCGCCGAGTATATAAAATATATGATCGAGTGTGCAACACCCTTTGTGGAAGAGCTTTACCAAAAGGACCAGATTCACGGAATTGTATCCGCCGCCGGCTCTAGTGGGACATCACTCGCAACGGCAGTAATGCGCAATGCGCTTCCTATTGGATTCCCGAAGTTAATGGTGTCTACCATGGCTAGCGGAGATGTAAAACATCTCATCGAAGAAACTGATATCACTTTGATGTATAGCGTTGTAGATATTGCAGGTACCAACTTCATCCTCAACCAGATCCTCACTAATGCTGCCGGGGCAATTGCCGGTGCAGCGACGGCATATTATCAAAGTCAAAGCAAACCGCATGCAGAAGGAGAAAGCCAAAGAAAGAAAAGGATTGGCATCACTATGTTTGGCGTGACTACTCCCTGCGCCGATGCTATTCGGTCCCATTTAGTTTCAAATTATGCCTATGAAGTGTACGTATTTCACGCCACGGGATCTGGGGGCAAAGCCATGGAACGGCTGGTTCGGGAAAAGCAGCTGGATGCCGTGCTCGACATAACCACCACCGAAATCGCCGATGAAGTGGTTGGGGGAGTTTTATCGGCAGGGCCCCAACGATTGACAGCTGCAGCGCAGGCAGGCATTCCGCAGGTTGTGAGCGTGGGCGCATGCGACATGGTGAATTTCGGGCCCAGAGATACTGTGCCTCCAGAGTTTACGTCTGCTGGAAATAAGCGAATATTGTTCGAGCACAATCCAGCCGTCACGTTGATGCGAACCACTCCCGAAGAATGTGTCCTGATCGCCGGTTTTATTGCATCCGCATTGCAGGATCATGTCGTCCGACCGGACCTGGTGAAAGTTCTTCTCCCCACGGGTGGAATCAGTATGATTGCCACTCCATCGCAGCCATTCTATCATCCAGAGTCAGATGCGGCTTTGTTTGAAACGTTAGAGAAGCGCTTAGATGGAAGCGGCATCGAAGTGAGGCGCGACGACCGGGCGATCAATGACAAAGACTTTGCCCTGTTAGCAGCGGAGTCTTTGGTGGAATTAATCCGGAAAACAGAAGCCGAGAAATAAAGAAGGAAACCATCTGAGCAAAGAGAAATACTAGACTCTCACATTAAAATATTGGTTTCAAAATACATGGAACATATCCAAGATCTACGTCGCAGACGAGATGATATGAAATATTCGTATTTTATACAAGATCGAAAGAGAACATAATCCGTTGCATAGTCTAGACATTTGAACGCTGAAATGCATGACCTCTATTCCTTCACTCAGATGAACATGTTGAGAACGCCTCCAATGAAATTTGTGGGGAAAAAGTAAAAAAAAGAAAAAAGGGGGGGGGGGAAAGAAAACATGGGAGAAGAGAAAAGAAGGGGAGAGAAAACGCCGAATCGTATTCAGACAAGGCACTTTCGGGTATCTTTGTTCCATATCTGCAGCCTCCTTCATCGGGCAATATATGATACAATGCTGTCAAAGAAGATGCGACAGCCCTTTTCGTAGGTCGTCCATCACGCCTCGCTGGCATTTGGGGACGTTGGCTCATTGGAAGGTCGATGTGTTCGACGGTGTTGTTTCATATTATCTTTTCGTGTAAAGGCTTTGTTGCAGACCGGACAGTGGACACTCTTCTCTCCAGTATGCTTCTTTCCGTGGCGAGCTGCATGGCCAGAGGTAGTAAAAGTGGCGGTGCAAGCGTGCGATGCGGCGTAGGGACACGGATATTTATTCTTCTTCACCGTCGTTTTACTCGTATCGGTTGTCGGAGGGGGATAGAATGCAGCGGCTGGTGAAGACATAGAGGGGCTCGACATGTCGCTATTGCTTTGTAACGAAGGTGTCCGGGTGTGCTGCTGGTGTGGGAAGATATGATGTTGGCGATGACTCGATGCATGATTGGGATATGGAGGAGAGCCCCCGGTTGGCGGAGGAAAGGAACCGGCAGATGGGACCGGGTAAGATGATGTTGTCGCTGTGGGCGGGTGCGCGTTGTGATAGGATTGCCATGACGGTTGCATGGGAGCATAATCGGGCTTGAAATACGAGGTCTCTGCGCATCTCGTCGCATCTGAAGCTCTCCGCACCGCGAAGGCGGGATTGTCGTCGTTATTTAAGATTGAGAGCATGTTATTGGACTGGCGTTCACTCATCTGCCAAGATTGGTGAAAAGGATGGGGAACGAAGATAGAAGGAAAAGAGAAAAAAAAAAAATATCAGTTATAAAATGTCAAGGTGCTACAGCACCAAGACAGACCAGGCAAAACGAGAAGAAAAAATGTGTTTTTTTTCTTCCCCGAAGGTAGCTCTAAGCTGGCTGAATGGTGTTCGGTGGGGAGTGGCGAGACAAAGGATTGCAACTCTTTGAATCTATCTGAAACGCTTGTCCTAGCAATCTGGCTCGATGCGTGGTGGTGGTCTGGAGGCAGGTAGATATGTTGCTGGCACGGAGTCCTAAGGGGGAAGGGGGGGGAGAATGGAGAGCTTCGGACGAGATCCTTGGGCGCGATTTAAGTTAAGTTATATGTAGGATGGGCTGAAGAAAGCCGTGCCACGTGCAGGTACTTTAGTCGGGTGCGACGATCTCCATTATTGTTCCAAGGTACTCCGTCCGCCGCGTGTAATTTAATTTTTTTTGCTGTTGCTTTTTCAGTAATACGACAACAGAGTTCTGCTAGCCAGACTAGCGAGGGGGACGTTCCGTGGCACGGAATGAATCCTCCGAACGAGAGAGAGCAAGTCATGTGCGAAAAAGCCCTAACGACTAGTAGTTACAAGTTCGCTTTTCGGCCAGGAGTGCGCTACGGCTACGTGGTTGAATGATAAAAATGAAGTTAGGGGTCGGTTTGCGTGTGCATAACTATCAATCCTAAAAGTCGTTGATCTAGGAGAACCATCTATGAATCTATAACTGCAGTAACTACAGGTTTTTGTAGTCAACGGAACGTCGAATGCAATGCGCGGGAGTCCACGGGGCGAGTCGATTCGTCAAATATTACCGTCGCTATGATCGGATTTGGCGGGCCGCCACAGTGTCAAGCGGCAGGACAGGGTTCAGGGTTCATTGCAAATGCTCGAGCTGAAGAATGCCCTGGTGGAGTCTTCGGACCCCTATGGATAGCCTAACCTCAAGCTGGACTACGCTACAAGCCCGCGGCGGCCTGAAGCGAACGGAAAATACTTGTTGCTTCCTAGTTTGTGCGTTAGGTGGTTGCAGGATTGCTTTATGCATGATTTCACACATATAGGTTATAAATTGGATTTTATATTAACTCATTATTTGATCTGTTCTGAATATTACACGCCCACCTAGGCGGTTGACTGCTCCGTACGTACGTCGTATAGCTACGTCGTTATTAATAGCAACCCCTGTTTCACCAGCGCATTGGCGTCAACTTGGACAATTATTATCGTCCATTAGTATTTATTGATAATAAGATTACTAACTAGCCAACTACGTAGATAGTTATCACTCGCCAATAAGCCGAATATTACTCATGACCTGTATTACCTACTTACTAACTTACGTTATACCGAGCCGCTGAGCTTCGTACGCTGAGTGTGCGTTGACACGAGTACGGCCGGATCTGCGTCAGCGTCTTCAACTAGCAGTATTCTGTAGCTGAGTGGAGTTAGAATTACCGACCATGGGGATGAACGTGGCTGGGCTTCTTTGCATTTCTCTACTGACTCTTGCGCCACGTTACCAGACATTCGGGTCGGCCGTTGACGTTTAAATTTCCCTGATCTTGAATCTTGGTACCGATAGGCTTTGTTTCTAGCACCAAGGTAATTTACCAGTTACCGGCACCCGTAGGTCCTCCAGAACCCAAGGTGAAAAAGTATCGTGGGTTCTTAATATGGTTCATGCGGATGAAGCGGGACGAAGGGAACAGCATCTTCAGGGCACCATCTGGCATTACCCAATTGGGTACTCCGAACTCCCACGTAAGCAACACGAGGCTGAAAGACTCCTTTCCCCCTTTCCCGCGGAAAAAAAATTCAAGGAAGCCAGGATGCTGAGAAGTGGTGAATTTTTCATAGGCCCGTTGCGTACGGCATACGGAGTACTATCAACGCACAAATGGTGATCTGCGCGCCGCAAATGATAGCGCTTTGGTGCTATACGCCTACAGTACGGAGTAGTACTCCGTAGTTATGCTTGAACAGCTGGCTGAAGTCTCCTTTTTCTTTTCGGAGCGAAGATCTGGATGGTCCAATGAAACGATCCAGAGGATGGGAGCGGCCTGTGAATGGCCAGACAGGCAAACAAGGTTTGACCCGTCGCGCTAGTGTAACGGCGGGACCAAGGGTGAAATAAATGCAGGGCTTGTCGTGGATGTACGGGCCCTCATTGGTGGATGTAGTTCATTTGGGTCCCCACCGCATACCCACTCCGTAATGTAAGGTACGGCGTCTCCTGTGACCTCGGTACGGGTAGTGCGCCCATGTGGCATAGCCCAGTAGGGCTCCGTGGGATCATCGGATTTTCGCCTCATTTTGACTCCGGGCCAACGTGGCAGGAAAGCAAATGGAAAAAGCCAGAATAAAGCTATTGTTTTACAATGCATATATACTGGCACACTAATGGTCTGGTGGACCATCTCTACGTGTGTTACTACGTAGGCGGTAATATCACGGCTGCTTCCGCGAGTCATTCTTTGTCTGTACGGATATTGGAAAAACCGGCCGTGGGAGTTCGTGGCCTGAATTACGTGCATAAGGGCTTCAATAGTACTCTGTAATGGGCAATAAAATGGCTCGTGGAAACACCTGCAGATGGCTTACTAATGATACATCGTTTCATCTGCGTATGCATGATTAATAGATTATTAATTCATATCTGATTATTCAAAATTTCATGACGTTGACGGCGTGCGTACGGGTGGCTAATCCAGGGTCTGGTGAAGAATGCGATCCACCGAGGAATTTGTAGGATAGGCCAAATCGCGGCCCGCACTAACGACGATGATATTACTCTAAAAGACCTAGTCCGTACGGAATACGCCATTTCGCAATGTTTTACTAGATGCTACTAGCGTCAATACCAGCGACTGGGGCTGGTGTCCGGACGTAACCACCTCAGTGGGAGACAAACTGTAGCAACGAGGCCCTCGGGGTTTGTCTATGGAGTCGTAGCGTACTAACTAGTGCCTATTGGGTGGGATTCCTGACCGTTACTCCTTCTGACTCAGGGCCAGCAGCCACAGTATCCACCGAGGGACCACGATACTGCTCATCTGCTCTCACGTTCTGCAATCCTGAAACCTCTTGCGTCGCATTCCAGCAGACTCGGTATGTGGTAGTCGTTGTGATAGTTTGGTTGTTAGTTCGTTGCCACAAACTGCGTGAATAGTGCAAGGATTGCGGTGATTGGAGGATTCTAACGGGGTCTGAGACGAGACAGCGGATATTTCTAGTTGTATGGTACGGTTTGCTGCGCTTCAGTTCCCAAACTGGGCAAACCCGCGGGAGCCTGGAGGACCCTGAATTTTTAATACCCGGTGTATATGTATTACGCGGTATGTGACAATTCTTCACACATCTTGAAATAACTACTCGGCTAACTAACTCAATCTCCGGGGCTTGTATAGGAGGTTATTCAAGATTCATTCATCGCTCTATACTATACTCCGTGCAATATTCATATTAAAGCATTCTTACTTAAAAACTTAGAACCCAGTGGCATCCTAACTGTCGGTGGATTCGGTTGCTTACATCCCCGCTGTAATCAAGACCCGGAGTTGCTACGGAGTCTATGAATAACCTTTCCCAACAAAAGCCTAGTTCACGAAAGGAGCCCTTACGGCTTATTAAGTCCGCGTCCATTCGCCATCTTCTTTTGAATACTGGTTGCCTATTTCCCAAGCTTTCTCACTAGCGATTTATGAGGTTAGAACGAGACTGCAAGAATTGGATGCAATTTGGATCGGCATTATTAGGTTATGCTAGTCAACTGCCAAAGGCCTTAGCCAAGTCAGCTCGAGCCTTCTAATCAACTTAAATACTGCGGCCCTTCCTTTACTGTGAAGTCGGAGGAGATACACGAGGATTATGGCAGGATTCATGGACAAACTATCTGACCTGACTAGAGTCTAGTAGTAGATAATAACTTAACCGTTACGGAGTGGGAAGAGGCTATGCTGTTGGGTAAAAGTCTGCAAAAAGTCTGCATATTCTGGGCCCTCATACCTTGAGAGGCTGATACTTCTGCTAACTGCTAACTAGTTAGCTACATGACTGTTAGGATGACAACCATATCAAACCACGGATTTCCGTATTTATAACTATACATAATCATACAAACATGAAATCCCTTTGCGAGAAACAGCATTTACAGCGCTGAAACCGAACACTGAACACATAGCATGTGACTACGTTAGGGGTGCATGCATAGGTACCAAGGGAGCAGCTGTAAGCGTTTACCCACAATTTTAGCTACTTAGACATAATAAGACAGTCGGCATCCACTGTGGAGCTAATTACCTAGATAGTAGGTATGCACCTGCAAGTCAAAATGGCCCCAAGGCCTTACAAGCCAAAGTCTAACAAGCTTCAAGCCACATGTAACAGATTACGTGTGGAGGAGACTTAGTTTCTAGTGACTTGCAGCAAGGTAGTAAACTAATTTACTCACCGTTCGGACTCGGCAAATAGCTGGAATATCAAATATTTACATATTATTAGCTATATGGAATTTCGCAGCGTCGAGCAGGTTAGTAGCCGTATGGTAGTTACATGTATAAACGTATCCGCTAGTTAGCGAAACGCAAAGCTTAAAAGATTAAATTCAAAAACCACGTGGAAAAGTGCCGTCCCGTCCGTACTCCGTTTTTGCTGGTACTGGACTCCGTACGGGTACAGCAATCAAACTAGGTTAGCTGTATCACAGTATTATACCCTGTACCAGGATGTATCGCGTAGAAGGGGGAAAAAAAAATTGATCCCAGAACGGAAGTACGTAATTACCTCCGAAGTAGGAAATTCACGGAAGCCGTGGAACATTCCGCCGGACTGTGGACCTCCCAAAGTAAAAAAAGAAAAAATGCAAGCCCTACTTGCTAATTGGTGACTTCGTATATCTCGTGACTGCTAGCTACAATGGACGATTTTACCAATACGTTATATACCTGTCTTGCTACAAGGCTTAGGGGTTTAAGATTGACAGGCTGTTCTCTTCGTTATAGCTATTAGCACTTATAGATATGGTGATACTCCGTAGTGTATATATATATTAATAATATATCTGATATAGTCTTAACGTAATCGGTAAGCGAACCGGCCACGTAAGCGAGCCGGCCACCTCTTTCCGGAACGGCGCTCTATATCGATTTCAAATCATATTTTTCGAATCCGCATACATTTCTTATACAAAAAATTAATTAACAGTACGACTAGGACATTGGTTAATTTTATGCCCTTCAGCGCCATAACCACTGCAGCGAAATTGACGGTGTATGGTTGGTTAAGAAGCTGGGAGCTCCGGCTTAGCCGGAGCAGTAATAGATGCCTTAATCTAACCTTGTATAAGTGCTTGGGCTTCCTCTCTAGTAACCCCTTGCTCAATAGATATCTATTTATTAGACCTCTTACACTTTTGCTTCTTTTTTTCATGCGCAGCTTATAAATCATAATTTTCTTTCTGTATAAGCAAGAGGTTATTCATAATTATTTTATATGCTTTTGACATTCGTATAATTATTTAATTAATTACTTGATTTAGGCTCTCTATATGCTTATTTATATATTTCTTGATTGTAGTTGACTGCCATATAAATTAACATATATTTTGTAATGTTTATAAACAGGATGATTGTGTATTGCTGGTGTAAGGCGGAATCCTGGATGGAGTTGGGAATAGCTTCAAAGTACAGCGGGCACGTGACCTCGCCCGGCTTCCCGCCGCTAATTGGACTAGCGGC